GACCGAAGGTCAGTGTTGGGGACAGATGTAGCAGCAGGCAGGGAACTAGTGCAGTGACCGAAGGTCAGTGTGGGGGACAGATGTAGCAGCAGGCAGGGAACTAGTGCAGTGACCGAAGGTCAGTGTGGGGGACAGATGTAGCAGCAGGCAGGGAACTAATGGAATGACCGAAGGTCAGTGTTGGGGACAGATGTAGCAGCAGGCAGGGAACTAGTGAGTGACCGAAGGTCAGTGTGGGGGACAGATGTAGCAGCAGGCAGGGAACTAGTGAGTGACCGAAGGTCAGTGTGGGGGACAGATGTAGCAGCAGGCAGGGAACTAGTGAGTGACCGAAGGTCAGTGTGGGGGACAGATGTAGTAGCAGGCAGGGAAGTAGTGGAGTGACCGAAGGTCAGTGTGGGGGACAGATGTAGTAGCAGGTAGGGAACTAGTGCATTGACCCGAGGTCAGTGTGGGGGACAGATGTAGCAGCAGACAGGAACTAGTGGAGTGACCGAAGGTCAGTGTGGGGGACAGATGTAGCAGCAGGCAGGGAACTAGTGAGTGACCGACAGTCAGTGTGGGGGACAGATGTAGTAGCAGGTAGGGAACTAGTGCAGTGACCGAAGGTCAGTGTGGGGGACAGATGTAGTAGCAGGCAGGGAACTAGTGAGTGACCGAAGGTCAGTGTGGGGACAGATATAGCAGCAGGCAGGGAACTAGTGAGTGACCGAAGGTCAGTGTGGGGGACAGATGTAGCAGCAGGCAGGGAACTAGTGGTTTGACCGAAGGTCAGTGTGGGAGACAGATGTAGTAGCAGGCAGGGAACTAGTGGATTGACCGAAGGTCAGTGTGGGGGACAGATGTAACAGCAGACAGGGAACTAGTAAGTGATCGAAGGTCAGTGTGGGGGACAGACGTAGCAGCAGGCAGGGAACTAGTGCAGGGACCGAAGGTCAGTGTGGGGGACAGATGTAGCAGCAGGCAGGGAACTAGTGACTGACCGAAGGTCAGTGTGGGGGACAGATGTAACAGCAGGCAGGGAACTAGTGACTGACCGAAGGTCAGTGTGGGGGACAGATGTAGCAGCAGGAAGGGAACTAGAGAGTGACCGAAGGTCAGTGTGGGGGACAGATGTAGCAGCAGGCAGGGAACTCGTGAGTGACCGAAGGTCAGTGTGGGGGACAGATGTAGCAGCAGGCATTGAACTAGTGAGTGACCGAAGGTCAGTGTGGGGGACAGATGTAGCAGCAGGCAGGGAACTAGTGAGCGACCGAAGGTCAGTGTGGGGGAGAGATGTAGCAGCAGGCAGGAAACTAGTGCAGTGACCGAAGGTCAGTGTGGGGGACAGATGTAGCAGCAGGCAGGGAACTAGTGAGTGACCGAAGGTCAGTGTGGGGGACAGATGTAGCAGCAGGCAGGGAACTAGTGAGTGACCGAAGGTCAGTGTGGCGGACAGATGTAGCAGCAGGCAGGGAACTAGTGGAATGACCGAAGGTCAGTGTTGGGGACAGATGTAGCAGCAGGCAGGGAACTAGTGAGTGACCGAAGGTCAGTGTGGGGGACAGATGTAGCAGCAGACAGGGAACTAGTGAGTTACCGAAGGTCAGTGTGGGGGACAGATGTAGCAGCAGGCAGGGAACTAGTGAGTGACCGAAGGTCAGTGTGGGGGACAGATGTAGTAGCAGGCAGGGAACTAGTGGAGTGACCGAAGGTCAGTGTGGGGGACAGATGTAGCAGCAGGCAGGGAACTAGTGCAGTGACCGAAGGTCAGTGTGGGGGACAGATGTAGCAGCAGGTAGGGAACTAGTGGAGTGACCGAAGGTCAGTGTGGGGGACAGATGTAGCAGCAGGCAGGGAACTAGTGCAGTGACCGAAGGTCAGTGTGGGGGACAGATGTAGTAGCAGGCAGGGAACTAGTGAGTGACCGAAGGTCAGTGTGGGGGACAGATGTAGCAGCAGGCAGGGAACTAGTGCAGTGACCAAAGGTCAGTGTGGGGGACAGATGTAGCAGCGGCAGGGAACTAGTGGAGTGACCGAAGGTCAGTGTGGGGGACAGATGTAGCAGCAGGCAGGGAACTAGTGCAGTGACCGAAGGTCAGTGTGGGGGGAAGATATAGCAGCAGGCAGGGAACTAGTGAGTGACCGAAGGTCAGTGTGGGGGACAGATATAGCAGCAGGCAGGGAACTAGTGAGTGACCGAAGGTCAGTGTGGGGGACAGATATAGCAGCAGGCAGGGAACTAGTGAGTGGCCGAAGGTCAGTGTGGGGGACAGATGTTGCAGCAGGCAGGGAACTAGTGAGTGACCGAAGGTCAGTGTGGGGGACAGATGTTGCAGCAGGCAGGGAACTAGTGAGTGACCGAAGGTCAGTGTGGGGGACAGATGTAGCAGCAGGCAGGGAACTAGTGGAGTGACCGAAGGTCAGTGTGGGGGACAGATGTAGCAGCAGGCAGGGAACTAGTGAATGACCGAAGGTCAGTGTGGGGGACAGATGTAGCAGCAGACAGGGAACTAGTGCAGTGACCGAAGGTCAGTTTGGGGGACAGATGTAGCAGCAGGCAGGGAACTAGTGAGTGACCGAAGGTCAGTGTGGGGGACAGATGTAGCAGCAGGCAGGGAACTAGTGAGTGACCGAAGGTCAGTGTGGGGGATAGATGTAGCAGCAGGCAGGGAACTAATGCAGTGACCGAAGGTCAGTTTGGGGGACAGATGTAGCAGCAGGCAGGGAACTAGTGGAGTGACCGAAGGTCAGTGTTGGGGACAGATATAGCAGCAGACAGGGAACTAGTGAGTGACCGAAGGTCAGTGTGGGGGACAGATATAGCAGCAGACAGGGAACTAGTGAGTGACCGAAGGTCAGTGTGGGGGACAGATGTAGCAGCAGGCAGGGAACTAGTGGAGTGACCGAAGGTCAGTGTTGGGGACAGATATAGCAGCAGACAGGGAACTAGTGAGTGACCGAAGGTCAGTGTGGGGGACAGATATAGCAGCAGGCAGGGAACTAGTGCAGTGACCGAAGGTCAGTGTGGGGGACAGATGTAGCAGCAGGCAGGGAACTAGTGGAGTGACCGAAGGTCAGTGTTGGGGACAGATATAGCAGCAGACAGGGAACTAGTGAGTGACCGAAGGTCAGTGTGGGGGACAGATATAGCAGCAGGCAGGGAACTAGTGCAGTGACCGAAGGTCAGTGTGGGGGACAGATATAGCAGCAGACAGGGAACTAGTGAGTGACCGAAGGTCAGTGTGGGGGACAGATATAGCAGCAGGCAGGAAACTAGTGAGTGACCGAAGGTCAGTTTGGGGGAGAGATGTAGCAGCAGGCAGGGAACTAGTGAGTGACCGAAGGTCAGTGTGGGGGACAGATATAGCAGCAGGCAGGGAACTAGTGCAGTGACCGAAGGTCAGTGTGGGGGACATTTAGCAGCAGGCAGGGAACTAGTGGAGTGAGTAACCAGTAATAAAGTCTCGAGAGAAAAAAAATCTCACATAAAAATTTTAGGTTACCTTATTTTAATTTAAGTTAGGTTTGTTTACATAGGTTGGGTAAGTTTAAGTCTTCGCTCTCTAGTGACATCTTTTTTTTTCCCTGCGACTTTTAACCTAATTTCCTAGTCAGCTTCCACTTACCAAATAAAAAAAAAATATTACGTTCATTGAGAGCTTTATTAAGAACTTTATTAAGTGCTTCATCAAAAGCTTTATCAAATAACTTACAAAGCTCCAAGCAACACGCAGCTTAAGCAAAAAATTTTTGTACATCTTTGTTACTTAATACAGTAACGCAACAAAAGTCATAAAATTAAAGCTAGCCGCTAAGTTATGTCACTGATCACTAACCATTAATTAATATAATTAGCCATGTAAAAATAACAAATCCCAAATAATTTACATTACCAACCACCTGCTAACGCAATTACCCATATACTAACATAACAGACAAAGGAGTGAGAAAAAGAAAAGGAAATCGTAAAAAAAAAAGGTTCTTACTGTCGCAATGTAAATTTGCAGCTCGTGTAAACACTTGGATGAAGAAGATAACTTTATCATCGGCGACTTTTCGCGCAGAAAATAGAGATTATTAAGTGTCATTCACTCCAGGAAATAATTATAATGAGTTTAGGTTAGGTAAGATTTGTCAGGAAATTGGGCAATCGATTCCATACGCGGGTCTTGGTCATATGATGACCCGCCACAGGAGCTTTTGGCCATCTGATCGAGGCCTTCCGTTGGCTTACCGCTGCAACCCTTTAAAAATTAAGGTAAGATCATTGTGGCCTTGAGAAGGTTATGTGTTACTGCTGCAGAAGCTGCCTTAGAAACAATTGGTTAATTAACTGGCAATAGGGAGCTGGAGTGCGCCAATAAAAACACGAGTCATGATGTGATACGCAATTACTG